AAGGACACCAGATAATAGACATCACTCCAAATCTAGGATGATTTCATCAGATTGCATATGCAGATACCCCATTTCTGAATAAGGTCACATTTTTGGTGGACATGAATTTGGGGGTAATACTTCAATCCGCTACAGGCATAAAGGGAATTTTTAAACAATTGAAGACCTGAAAAAAGGTCAGGAAACAGGACTAAATGTCGAAACTTATTTTGCTGTTTGCAGGAATTTTATTTTAAACCACTCTCTTCTGAATGCTCTCAGCAGTGTGCTCTGAGATAGAGGCCTTCTATGAATAATTCTTGCTTGTCAGGCCCAAAGCATAGGCTGACCTGACCTCATTAAATACCTTTTAGCAAGTTAGACAAAGTAACTCCTTAATTTCAGATAACACTAACCCAGAGATTTCCAACAATTTGAGTTCTAAAATACAAGATTCTGTGGTACTTTATTTATTTTTTTCCTTTGTTTTTTGTAGGAGTACTGCTATTTATTCAGCCACTGATTAGCTGATTGAATTGTGCATGAACTCCACCTTCTGTGGTACTTTAAATTGTGAAAATTTACATAGTATAAACAAACACAGTCCTCCTGTTGTTCATCGATTTGCTTGAGCGGGCCCAGTAACGTCTCCATTTTGAGACTTGTTGTTACTGTGTTTGGCATATTGAATACTTCACGGGTAGCTTGCCAGGCTCTCCGGGAGGGGTGGAGGAATCGAACCCCGCTCAGCTGGGCTGGCTGCGCACAAGGCAAATGCCCTACTAGATCAACAGTATAGTATGATTATTAAGAATCAGGACTTTGGGGGGCGGGCAGAGAGATGGTACCTTGGTAGGGAAATTGCTTTGCACTCAGCCAACCCCAGTTTAGTCCCTGGCATCCTATAGGGTCCCCTGAGCTTCGCCAGCAGTGATCCCTGAGCACAGAGCCAGAGTAAGCCCTGAGTACTACCAGTTGTGGGTTCCTTCCCTCCACCCTGAAAATAAAAAAGAAAAAGGACTTTTGGAGCTACGTTCTGAGTCACAATCTTCAGATTCTGCCTCTGCTTGTGGGACTCTGGGTAAATTGGTGAACCTTAATGCACTTGTGAACCTCTTTAAAAGTAAGGGTTATAATAATAATAATATCAATACATATAAAATGTACAGAATGGTCTAGCATGTAATTACTCCTCACTTAATGTTAGGTGCTGATGATTTCTTCATATTTGTCATCATCCTCTTCACTTAATCTGTGCTCTTCAGAAGAGAGTGAAATTGAAGAGAATAAACCTGAAAGGTTTATTATGCCTTTGTTTTTAGTAGTAAGGATAAATTTGTACTTTTAGATTTCTTCTGTACATCCTAAGCTTTAGGAAAGATAAGATTGTTTAGTAGTTGTAGAGATAACTGGTTCCTGGTTTTATTAATGAGATACTTGTTGCTGGGTAGCTAGTGATCTATATAACTTGCCTCTAAAACTCTGCTAATGATGGAGTTGGGGATGTGACTTAGTGGTAGAGCACATATGTGAGGCCCTGAATTTGATTCTCAGTATCACAAGTTCCCCTGAGCAAGGCCAGGAGAGACCCCTGAGCGCACCAAACCAGGAGTAGCTACTGATTATGTATGGATATTGCCTTCAGACAAACAAAAAAAGCTTCTTTAGAGAATCTTCCTTTTATATCAGCTGAATCCTTTTTTTTTGTTATGACATGAAACATCTTCCTGGTTATCCTTGGTAAAGGAAATTTCATTACTTAATTTTCTTTTTTTTAAAAATAATATAGGAGCACTGCTATTTATTCAGCCATTGATTAAGCTGATTGAATCGGGCATGAACAGCATGAACTCCACATTACTTTCTAATTTTTTAATTTTATAAGTTAGTTCACAATGTGATTACATTCAATATTCAAACACCAATCCCACCACCTTACACCTTCCCACCACCAAATTGGGGATTTTTCCATCCCAAACCCCAATCCCTTTTCCAAAACACAACCGAAACAATGTATTTCTTATTGTCTGTTATGAAGAGCTGCTGAACATGCTTACAAAAAAGTGTTCATATAGGAAACAATGTGAAGATTGTTCTGTTTTGGCAGGAGTCGTGAGCTTTGGTATATATATCTGAAAATATGTATATATGCATATATATATTTTCCTCTGATTTGTAGCCTACTTTCTGAATCCCATCAAATGTGGTGTAATTATGGAGAATGGGTAGGGGGTGTTTTATGATGTGTCATGCGGCCGTTTTTATGGCCGTGTAGTCCAGGAATATGTTTACTCATGTGAGGCTCAGTCCGAGCGTGTGGGGAGCGGCTTTCAGTGTGGCAGCGGTTGGGTTATAGAGGTTTTTGGCTGCTGGTACTGGGTCAGTCCCTTAGGGTGGGAAGGGCTCTTCCCCCCCTTCCCCCCCCCCCAGCCCAGGCGCCCCTTGTGAAACAGCCTGGCGCTGAGTCTGATGGCATGGTTATGGGGACCTCTTGCATAACTTAATTTTCTTTAAAATTTTTTTTGGGTCTAACTTTGGCAGTGTGCTGGAGCGATAGCACAGTGGTAGGGCTTTTTTGCCTTGCATGCAGCCGTCCTGGCCAACCTGAGTTTGATGCTCCGCCCTTCTCGGAGAGACTGGCAAGCTACTGAGAGTATCTTGACCACGCAGCAAAGCCTGGCAAGCTACCTGTGACGTATTCAATATGCCAAACACAGTGACAACAAGTGTCACCAATGGAGATGTTACTGGACCCGCTCAAGCAAATCGATGAACAACGGGAGGACAATGCAGTGCAGTGCTACTTTGGCAGTGCTCAGGGCTCTTGGGTCATTGCTCAGGGATAATTTCGGTGGTATCTTATGGGATGCTGGGAATTGAGTCTTGGTTTGGCTGTATGTAAAGCAAGTACCTTACTTGCTGTCCTGTCTCTCCAGCCTAATGTATAATGTTGAGTAACTACATGCTTTAGCAGGCATTTCATGACATATAATCACCTGCTAAAGATTCATTGTGGGCATATGGGTTTCCTACCCTTAGAGTTCTTTTTATTGTTGACCATACCCAGTGATGCTCAGGGCTTACTCTTAGCTCTCCACTCAGGGATTACTTCTGATGGTGCTCAGGGGACCCCATGGGATGCCAGGGATTGAACACAGGTTGGCCACGTGCAAGGCAAGCCCCCTATTCACTTTTCTGTCTCTCTGGTCTCTGGATTCTTGTTTTTGAGTCACACTTGGAGGATGTAGATGCTGTTGCTGGCAGTGCTCTGCTTTGTGTCAAACCCTGATCTTCCACATGCAAGTAAGCCTTTTGAACTAACTTCCTAACTCTCCATGGTTTTTCATGTTCCCTCTGCATGTAACTAGAAAGATTTCTTTGCAGCCCACACTAAATGATAATACTCTCTCGATTCCCTGCATCCTGTTTAGCAGAACGCTGCAGTATAGCTTACTGAGCTTATGAAAAGTTAGTGGATAACTAGAATTCATAGTAAATGATGTTAATAAGTACAAACCATTTTGCCAGATTGGTTTTTCCGTCTCTCCCCAGCCTATTTGCTTTTCTTCCTCCCTTCTCCCCTTGCCCTCCCTTTATTGTTGCCATGATGGAGGTTTCCATACACACTCCTGGCTGTGGTGCTTGCACATTTCAGTTGTGCTTGCTTGCCCACTGTGCTGAGGGTTGTACTCCTTCCACTCCTTTTGGGCCTGTGCCTGCTGCTGGCAGCTGCACTCTTTAGTTGTGCTTGAGTACATTCTGGTCATGTAGTGTTTGCTGAAGGCTACTGTGGTGCTCACATGCAGGTGCTTGCCCGGACTTGCACTTCCTGGCTGAGATGCTCATATTTTGTGTGTGTGTGTGGGGGGATGAGCTGGAGTGGGGGTGGGGAAGGGGTTCTTACCAGGGGTAGTAGAACAGCCAGATTGATTCTTGGCCATGTTGGGATTGAACTCACCACCTTATGCTTATAAGGGAGATGTTCTAAGTTACCGAGTTCATTTGCTAGTCTTTTTACCATTCATTAGGCTGAGGAAGGAGACTGGTTTTCTTTCTACTACCATCTTGTATTTGTTAAATTTAACAGCTGTATAGGTTTTTATTCTTATATAAGGAAACCTAGCTTAGAAATATGGAAGTTGTTCAGATAATGCCTACAGAAAAGGGGAGATGATCCTGAATGTCATGTAGTGTTTGCTGAAGGCTACTGTGGTGCTCACATGCAGGTGCTTGCCGGGACTTGCACTTCCTGGCTGAAATGCTCACATTTTGTGTGTGTGTGTATGGGGGGGGGCGGGGAGGGGTACTCAAAGGTAAATTTTTTCAAATGGATTATTAACCCTTGCTGTATATATACAGAGATTCTGGGTTTATCTCATTGCTCTTTATTGAAGTTTTGTTGTTGTTGTTTTTGTTTGTTTGTTTTTCTTATTGTGTGACACCCAGTGATGCTGCGTCACTTCCGGCTCTGTACTCAGGAATTACTCCTGGCTCAGGGAGTTTGGGATTGAACCTGGGTCGGCCATGTGCAAGACAAATGCCCTACTTCCTGTACTGTCACTCTGGCCCAGCCTTTCTGGTTCTGTTAACTGCTCTTTTCCAGACCGTGCTAATGGGTTGTTTGAATAGCACAATATCTAAAGACACCTTCATTCCTTCTCATGTTAGTAGTCACAGTTCTTTTCCAAGTTAGGCATCATAATTTGAAGCCTTGTCCTCTAATTCGCTCACAGACAGATTTTATACAGGTGTCTTTCAAAATATACTTCAATTTTTAGTCTTCTTTCATGATTTAAAGATGTGGGAAAGTAAAATAATTTTTTTGGGGGGTGGTTTTGGACCACCCTTGGTTTTGCTCAGAACTTAATACTGGTTATTTCGCTCAGGGCTTACTCCTGGAAGTGCTTGAGGTACCTATATGCGGTGCTGGGAATCAAATGGGGTTCGGCTCTGCAAGGCAAGCACTTTAACCCTTGTGCTATATCTCCATCATTAACATATTTAATTTTTTTTTGTCCTAGATTAACTGCTGAAGTACTGATCGAGTTCTGCGTTTCTTCAATGAGGAACTACAGGCTGATCTTCTGCCATAATCTCAAACAGCCATAAATGACAAAAGAATGCTTGCTCAGTGAGGGTAGCTGGTGCAGAAGCCATTTTTTAAACTTAGGTGTTTAAGTACTCAAAGGTAATTTTTTTTTTCAAATTGGTTATTAACCCTTGCTGTATATATACAGAGATTCTGGGTTTATCTCATTGCTATTTATTGAAGTTTCGTAGTTATTAGCAGGCACATTGTATGCAGAGTGGATAAAGAATGTCTAAAAATGATGTAAATTTATGAGATTTTGCTGCCCTTAGGTTAATTTCCACTTTTTCTGTTAAGTTAGATGGATTGCTTCTCAATCATAGTGTGACATGCTTTTGATTCAGTGGCTATTATATATGTGGACTTAATTTTTGTAAAGCTTTAGAATCTTGAGTAGATTTATCTTAGTGTTATTATGTTTCTCTTGAATAATGTTAAAAAGCCAGTTTTGTTCATTGTCAGCTCAGTGACTAATCATGGTATTTGTTGGAGGTTGTTATTGGTGGTGCTCTAGGGATCATTCTGTGCCAGGAATCAAATGAAATCTGGGTCTCTCACATGTTCTGTTCTTTTAAAAAATACTTTTTTTTTTTTTAAAGGAAGATAGGTTTTGTTTATTTTTGGGAGCACATCCGGTGTTGCTCAGGGGTTATTCATGGCTCTACATTCAGGAATTACTCCTGGTGATGCTCCTTGGGACCACATGGAATGCTGGGGATTGAACTTGAGTGCCATATGCAAGGCAAGTGCCCTCCCCACTATAGTATCACTCTAGCCCCAATAAGGTAGTTTTCATCGAACAAAATTAAAGGGAGAACATAGGCTTGAGAGAGCAAGCCTAAAAGCAGTATTTTCTAATACAAATGGATAGAAAATGAATTTGTCTTAATTTTTTTGACAGTTTTTTGATCACAGTTTCTCAATGATAATTCTGAACTACATTGGAAACTTTTTTGGGAATAATTTTGAAGCACATTAAAAATTCTTATTGAAAATTGATACCTAATTTCCTTTGTAAATAAGTGTTATGACTGCTTTGTCATGTAGAAATAAGAACTGGTTAATCTTGTTCTTTGTTTCATTTATGAAAAATGATTATTAGTTGCCTGTTACTTTTTTTCCTCTTGGTTGGATACTTAGAAATTGAGAATTTAGATGAACTTTATATAGCAGAGTTCATAGATTGGGTTTGACTTTTTACTTTCATTAATAAGCTTAATAAGATCCTTTTTATTTTGGTTTTGGAGCCCACACCTTGTGTTGCTCAGGTGGCTATTCCTGGCTTGGAAGTTGTGCCCCTTTGTGGTGTTGGAGACCGGACCCGGTCTGCTGTTTGCTGGGCAAGCACATTCGAGTTCTTAGAACCATATTTGCTTGGGACATTCATGTCATTTGCTAAGTTTAATAATCAGTTTTGCCATTGGTTGATAAATATTTAAATACTAGGGAGCCACTCAAAAGTAATTACATATTAGAGAAACTAGTTGATGATACCGAGCGTTATTGGTGGGAAACACTATGGATCTGGTAACAAACTTATTTACATATTTAATAGATAAAAGCGTTCAGGTGTTAAACATTTTTCTTTAATATGTTTAGTCTCTTGCCACCTGTTAATTATATTACAATGTTTTCCCTTTTTTCTTATTTTTTGTTTCTTTCATTTGGCAGAAAAGACAGCTTTGATTTCTGGCTGCAAAAAAGATATGAGGAAGAGCTCCTCCCCTTCCTTGAGTAACTGCAACTCCGTTCTTGCTAACAAAATATTTGGAATTCCACTTGATGAGCTGCAGCAGGGAGGACATCCAGACAATGAGGTTCCGTTCATAGTCCGCCACGTCGTGGACTATATTGAGGAACATGGTATACATTTCCTTACTTTCAGGGCTAGCCTTTGTTTTATAAAAACAACTTCTTGTTTCCCCTTTTGCCTTGAATTTTTTCTCTATGGAAAGTACAATGTCATGAGGAAAGACAGAAATTATTAAACATTTCATTATGTTTTATTTTAAAATCATTGGAAACATTCAGGCTAGAGCATTTTTAAATGGGCACTGAGTGGGAAATAATATTTTTAATGGGTGCTAAAGGGTTAAACGGAACTGCATGGGCCGGGAATTGAACCTGCGCCTACACAATTCTACCACTGAACCACCCTAATGCCTCTAATGGATGGCTGGAGCAATAGCACAGTGGTAGGGCGTTTGCCTTGCAAGCCGCTGGCCCGGCTGAGCCGGGTTCAATTTCTCCGTCCCTCTCGGAGAGCCCACCAAGCTACTGAGAGTATTTCGCCTGCACAGCAAAGCCTGGCAAGCTACCTGTGACGTATTCAATATGCCAAACACAGTAACAACAAGTATCACAATGGAGACGTTACTGGGCCCGCTAAATTGATGAACAATGGGAGAACAGGGCTACAGTGCCACTAATGGGTGGGTAAAATAGAGAAGTGCTGCATTTCTAGATGTGTAATATGAAGGTATTTAGTGCAATTGCTGGAGTGGCTTTCCAGAGGTATGGCTATTCCAAGTTGGTTGCAGTATGAGCATATGTGACTAGTCAGAGTTGCAGCTTCTTCCATTTTTGCGTTGAATTAATGCAGGAGGTCTGGAGCAACAAGGACTTTTTCAAGTCAATGGAAATGCTGAGACAGTGGAGTGGCTTCGGCAGAGATACGACAGCGGAGAAGAGGTGGATTTGGTTAAGGAAGCAGATGTTCCCTCAGCTATTAGTCTTCTTAGGTTTTTCCTTCAACAACTTCCTGAACCTGTTATCCCAGGCAGTTTTCACATTCATTTGATGCAACTTTCTCAAGGTAATATAATTTGATTCTTATCAATCTTTTAACATTAACTTCAAAGATCTTTAAGAAATCTGGACTTGTAACTAATAATTACAGAAATTTTCTTATGTTCTCATTTTGTGGACATAAACTTGGAATTGTATGGTCTGGTTCAATTTCTTAGCTGCCTGTGATACTATTTGTTGTTATTCGTCTTAGTCTAAGATATAAGAGGTGAGGACACAAGAGAAAAAAACGAGTGAAAGTAGGAAAGAAGAAAGAAAAAGATAGATGATAAATGTGGCAGAGAATTTATTATAACCAGTGGTGTTGCTTAGGATGTTATTTCTATTATTTTAAAGGCAGGTGAAAGGGTTGTTTTGTATTAATTTTATTTTGATTTTGGGCCACACCAGCAGTGCTCAGGGACAAAGCCATGCTTCCTTCAAACAAAAGCATGTGCTCCAGTTTGTGCTCTCTCTTCGGCTCATATTTACTTATCTTCTTAGAGAGGCCATACCCAGCACTTCTGGGGGGCAATCCTGCAAGGTGGGAGAGATGTGCAGTGAATACAGGACCCTGCATTTGCTAGGCTGGTACTCTGTGCTTGAGCTATCTGCCAAGTCCCAGCTGAGGATTTTATACCTGTTTTGATAGAAATTCTGAGCAGAGAGGTTGGAACAATGGTACAGCGGGCAAGGCGTTTGCCTTGCATGCGACTCACCCAAGTTGTGTTGCTGGCAACCTATAGGGTCCCTCAAGCACTGCCATGAGTAATTGCATAGAGCCAGGAGTAACCCCTGAGTATCGCTGGGTGTGGTCCTTGCAAGAAAAAACGAAAAAACAAAAACCCAAGTTTTTGAGTAGAAATCAGAAAAAATCTATTGAGGTTTGGAATATATCTTGTTTTTGGACATCTGACTGAAGAAAACAAAATATTAAATTGGATGTCAGATTCTAAGGAAAAAAAGTTGGTTTGTCCTTTTTAATTTTTTTAGTGGTGACAAAAGGTAGAGTTAAGCTGAAATGGAATTGGAACAGGACAAATGAAGGTAGGGAGAAAATGCTTAAATGTTCCCAAAACCAATTGCTATCGATGTCTATGTAATAGATATATATTTTATTATATAAGGTTATAAAGTTTGCTATTTAGTGCTTTTAAAAATTTTATTTCTTTTTGGGTCACACCCGATGATCCTCAGGAGTTACTTCTGGCTCTGTGCTCAGGAGTCACTCCTTAGAATGCTGGGGGACTATATGGGATGCCAGGGATTGAACGCAGGTCAGCTGCATGCAAGGCAAATGCCCTCCTTGCTATACTATCACTCTGGTCCCTGAATTTTTTTTGTTTGAAAGACAATCCTGTTTATTATTTATTTTTGCTTTTTCGGGTCACACCCGGTGATATTCAGGGGCTACTCCTGGCTCTGCACTCAGAAATTACTCCTGGAGGTGATTGGGGGATCCAATGGGATACTAATATCGAACTTTCAGTTGGCTGAGTCCATGACAAACACCCTGCCTACTATACTGTCGCTCTGGCCCCATCCTAAAAATTTTTTTAAACGACTTTTTTCTGCCCTTAAAAAATAATATTTTAAGGGGCTGGAGTGATAGTACAGTGGGTAGGGGGCTTGCCTTGCAAGCTTGCCTGGGACAACTCGGGCTCAATCCCCAGCATCCCATAGGGTCCCCTGAGCACTGCTAGGAGAGCTTCCTGAATGCAAAGCAGGAGTAACCCCCTGAGCACTGCCATGTGGGACCCCCCCCACCCAAAAAATATTTTAAGCACAGTACTGTTTTATAGTACTGTTAATGGTTGGGTCGCGTGTCTTGCATAAATCATTCCAGGCACACCCTCTACCAGAGTGTTTACTTCTCTCTATCACTGTTCCACTATCTTCACCCCCAACATGCCCCCACATCCCCAAGCCTTCTACTGAAGTTTCTGTTGCATTTGGGTATTTGTTATTCCCTTCCTGGTTTGTTTATATCTCACATATGAGAGAGATCATTTCCTATCTGACTTCCTCTTTCTGATTAACTTCACTTAGAATGATTCTTTTCAGATTTATCCAATTAGCAAGCAGCAGATTTCATGATTTAGTCTTTTCTTTTGGCAGAGTAGCATTCCATTGTTTTTTTATCCTGTCTACTCTTGGATACATGATATATGAAATAAAAGAGATTTTTCTTAGCCATGCCCTGTGCTACTTGGACTCATCCCATCTCAGTGCTTGGGGAACCACCTGTTGCTGGAGATCTCTTGTATGCAGAGCATGTCCTCTGCTTCTTCGAGCTGTCTCTCTGGCTCAAAATTACTTATTTTGGGGGTGGATGGGGTGCACACGCAGCGATGCTCAGGGCTTCTGGCTCTGCACTCAAGAATTACTCCTGGTGGTGCTCAGGTGACCATGTGGGATGCCTGGAATCAAATCTGGGTAGGCCTCATGCAAGGCAAGCACGCTGCCTGCTGTACTATTGTTCCAGTCCTCCAAAATAACTTTCGTTGTTCTTTTGTTTTTGGGGCACACCAGTGTGCCTAGGAATCCCTCCTGGCAGTGCTTAGCAGACCATATGGAGTGCCAGGGATCGAACTAGGGTTTGCTATGTGCATGACAAGTGCTTTAACCCCTGTACTCACTCTCTCTGGACCATGAATAAATCTTTTTCGATATTTTTTGATTCCATTTTTGAAAAAAATTACTTCAACTTATTTTGTGGAATTTCAGGAGATGCTCTGTTCATCTATGTATGGGTTTTACCATCCCTACAAATTCAAAAGACTTATACTTTTAAATTCTCATATCTAAAATAAAAAATATTAAGGGAACAAAAATAATTACAGGAGTTGTCATAGTTGCTGTAGTCACCATATTGATAGCTTTAATTGCTTGTGTAAATTATGTTTTGCTGATATGTATGATTTTACTTTTCTAAAAAAAGAGATAAATTGTTAAAATAGCCATCATTTATTGTCATGGTTGATCATTTATTGACTGACTTAAATTAATTAATTTTTTTTGCTTTTTGGGTCACACTCTGCGATGCTCAGGGATTACTCCTGGTTCTGCACTCAGGAATTATTCCTGGGGATGCTGGGAATCAAACCCAGATTGGCTGCATGCAAAGCAATCACCCTACCTGCTGTGCTCCAGTCCCTGACTTTAATTTTAAACTCAAAATTACTGGTTTCTTTTTACAGTTGGTAGTATTTTAAAATTAAGGACAATTGCTATTTAAATTTTAAATAATTATTTTGGTTTTTGATCAAGCCGGGCCTCTGAGTGCAAAGCCAAGTGCTCAGGTCTTTGGGCTCTCATTACATTTTAAACTTTAATGAAGACTCGTGACCATAGCTTACAAATACGTTAGATTTGTATTATTTTGCAAAGATGGCCAAACTCATGACCATTAGTCTCATTTATTTTTTTGTTTTGGGGTCACCCCTGGCTCTGCTCAGGGCTGGCTCCTGGCTCTGCACTTAGAGATTACTCCTGGCATGTTCAGGGTACCATATGATATAAATGCGGGTTAAACCTTGGTCAACCACATTCAAAATAAGTGACTTTACCATCTGTAGTGTCTTTCTCTGGCCCCCATGACAGTTGTCCTTTATCAAGGACTGTTTTTATAAATTAATTTAAAGAACTTGAAAAAAAAGTTGATTTTTCACTTTAAGCAATAAATTAATTTTGAGGTTGCCTCTGAGAAATTTATCTCATCTGAATGACACCTCACAAAATCAAGTGTCCTGATATTTCATTACACAAGGCCTTCTTTGTGTAATGAAAACGTTGTAAACATTGGGATTCACCATGTTTAAAAAAAATCAATTCAGAGAAGAACCAAATGAGAAATGGAATTCTTTTTTATTTGCTTGTACTGATTATGCTGAAATTAATTGTTCTTTTCAGGATGTTGGAGGAAAAAGAAAGTCTCGCTTTGTTCATTCCTTCTTTTCCTTTCATCCAAATGAAAAAGTGTCACTGATATTAGTTAATTAAGCTTCTCTTCCTTGCTCATTACAAGTAGTTGTTGACAGACATTGGCCAGTGAGTGCATTTTTACTTACAATCGGCACTAATTTGGAAACACAGGAACTGTCATGCAAGACACTGTGATGAGAATTTAAAAAGTTAGAAAATTGGGGCCAATGACAAAAACATCCTCCAGCAATTGAGGGCTTGAGTTCCTTCTCTCCAACTTTTCTCCTCCACTTAAGTGAAATGTAAATCCCTAAGGCATTTGGCCTCTGGTAGAGGAAGTGAAGAGGTTTGGAATTGTTACAGTAAAAAGATAATGTGGGTGGACTAATGTGAACCTGGCAAAATATCTGAGCTTTGCTTTTACTTCATTAAAAAAAAACCCTGTTATTATGTTTTATAGATGATAATAACGAAGATGAATTTGGAAGAAAGTTGAGGTTCCTCTTGCAACAACTTCCACCTGTTAATTACAGTTTGTTAAAGTTTCTGTGTAGATTTTTAGCCAATGTAGCATCACATCATGAAGAAATTTGGTCTGCAAACTCTTTGGCTGCTGTTTTTGGTCCAGATGTCTTCCAGTAAGATGTTTTCCATATTTTTTTGTTTACTTAAAAAAAATTGAATTTGTGAAATAGAATCATAGCATTCTATCCCAGTGGTCATAGGTTGCTTTGTGAGCCATTATTTTTTAATAGTATGATTAATCCCTTCAGCATTTTGTGAACAGGGTACAAATTAGGGGTAGGCTTTACAGATGGGAAAACTAAGGCACGGAATGATGACATAAATTGCTCAGGTTTATAAAGTGACTCATTGGTTATCCTCTTAAGATTACCATGATTGATTTAAGCACACTGAATTCAATTTAGACCTTTATTTTTAGCATTTACACAGATGTGGAAGATCTGAAAGAACAAGAAATAGTGAGCAGGATCATGGCTGGACTTCTGGAAAATTATTTTGAGTTTTTTGAGAATGAAGAGGAAGATTTTTCATCTAATGATTTGAGTTCAATTACTGAACAGGTGAGAATAAAGTATTCTACTTGGAGGGTTTTTTTTTTTAAATGGACTTTAAAAAGTTTGGCACAAATGTGGAATTCCAAATTGCTTAATTGGAAGCAGTTCTTTTGGTTTAATTTATGTAGTCGAAAGAAATAGGTAGATCTGTGTATTGTTTTTTCTAATTTTTTTTTGTCTTCAGTTTGAAAATAAGAGACATTGAAATTAGAATATATAATACTATGGTGTCTTTTTTACCCTGTTAATAACTCAAGCATTGTTTTTTTTGGTAAGAATAGTGATTTTTTATTTTTGCAAAGAAGTTGCAGTATAAAGTTGACACAGACTTAAAAACAGAATGTCAGTATAGTGGTGCCTCCTTGTTATTAATGGAAATAATGGGAAATTAGTACAGGTAGTAAATAGTATTTTTAACACTGATTCCTGAATATTAAAATCCATTTTTCAGGTTTCATTATATTTTGCTGGTATAACTATGCTGTGAAGTAAGGGATTCAGAAACTTGCTTCTTTTTATAACATCAGACTGTTAATGCTGAGAGACTGTAATTTATTATAAAGCCACATAATTCCTGACTTCTAAGGCTTAGAATTTGTGATTTTTAGTTTTATGTGGAGGTTTTCCTTTTGTATTTAAGTGCAGTTTTCCAGCAAATGTTTTCTTGGTTAAAGCCTATGAAATTAGTTATATTTGGGGTGTGGGATAGAGCACTACCTTTTTTTTCTTAAAATGAACAGTAATTCACGTACAAAGGACAACGTTGTGGTACTGTTATCTATACCTGCCCACTTCTGTTGGATTTTTTTAAAACTTGTTTTTCCAGGTTTTTTGGTTGATGATGATGATGTTATTAGGCAGTGCTTAGGGCTTACTCCTGGCTCTGCCCTCAGGGATCAGTCCTGGCAGGACTCAGGGGACCCCGTGGAGTGCCAGAGTTAGCTGTGCAAGGCAAGCGCCCTATTCAGTTTTTCATTTAAGCAAATGAAAGTAATATTTTCCTTACAGCTTTTTCCTTTTTTATAGCCACACCTGGCAATGTTCAGGCCTTACTGTTGGCTCTGCACTTGGGGATTACTCTGGGAGAGACTGGGGGGACCATATATGGTACCAGGGATCAAACTGGGGTCAGACATATGCAAGGCAAGCACCATAGCCACTTTAAAAACAAAATTTTGAAGATTAGGTCTTCAAAATCTTGCTGAGGAATTAGCATAAATAATATATTACAGGGCAAGCTCCCTATCCACTACTATCTCTCTGGCCCCTCTCACAACTTTTTAACAGAAAAGTGGCACACCATACACAGTTTTGCCTCTTGTTCTGTGTTTGTCCATACCTGGCAACTCAGGCTTACTCTTGTCTCAGTGCTCAGTGACCACTCCTGGCAGGGCTTTGGGAACCATAAAGGGTGCTGGGGATTGAATCTGAATTGTCTGTGCAAGCAAGCACATTACCTGCTGTACTGTCTCTCCAGCTCTTCCCCCCCCCTCGAGTTCTTTTCTTACTGAAATATAGACTATACTCTGCTGTTTTTGTATCTTCTTAATTCTCTGTTGAATGGATGTAATCTTATAATTTGATTCATAGTGCAGTCTCCTCTTGAAAGGTGATAGTCCATCCAGTTTTTTCAGTCTTGTCCTTTTTATTGCCATGGTTAGAATTCAGGGCCTCATACATAGTTAATCTCTCATTTTGATCAGTTCTTTTTTCTATTTTCTGTATAATTAGTAACTCCCCTTTTCAAGCTTAAATATATCTAGGTATAAATAGGTTTAGGTAAATTTTATTATCACACTATTTTTTGGTTAACATTTGTTTCCTTTTATTTGCTATTATAAAGTAGCATCTCATGAAAAGTGGTTTGTCATAGAAATTTTCTTTTATCTTTAACATTTGACAGGTACTATATAAATAGGATTTTAACTTTCTATGTAGCTTAACTTTTTTCCTTTTTTATTTTTTATGTTGCTAGGGATCAATTCACGGCCTCATACATGCAAGGCAAGAGCTTTACCAGTAGATAGCTTAACTTTTATTCAAAAGAATTTCTGTATTGCTCTGAACTTTATAAATAAATGTGTGTATGTATATATGTGTATATGTTATATACAAAACGTATTTTTTTTTGTAGGAGGACTGCTATTTATTCAGCCACTGATTAGCTGATTGAATTGGGCATGAACTCCACCTTAATTTTTTAAAAATTTTATTTATTTATTTTTTTATATTATTGAATCACTGTGGGAAAAGTTATTAAGCTTTCAGGTTTAAGTCTCGGTCATACAATGATCAAACACCTTTCCCTTTACGAGTACTCTTTACAAAACGTATTTTATATATAAATATACAAAGTATATAATATAGTTTGTTTTGGGGCCATATCAGGTGGTGCTTATAGCTGGCTTTCTCGTGCCATTGTGCTCAAACATCACTCCCGGCAGGGCTTAGTGGACAGTATGCTGCGCCGTCTGTGGAACCTGTTCAGCAGTTAAGGACCTTACCTGCTGTACTGTCTCTCAGGTCCCTATGAATACATGTTTTTTAAAATGTGGGGTTAAGGGCCACAGAGATAATGCAGCAGGTCGTGTACTTGCCTTAGACGTGGGTGATGTGGGTCCCATCTCCGGCACTCCATATAGTCACTTAAGCCCCGAAGGAATGACCCTTGAACATCACTGGGTATGGTACAAAAACAAAAAATGGGGAGAGGTAATTCAGCGGGTAATTATTATTGCCTAGAATGCAACCAGCTGGGTTTGATCCCCGGCATTCTACAGGGTCCCATGAATACTGCAGGAGTCATTCCTGAGTGCAGAGCCAGGAGTGTGGCTTGGTTGTGGCCCAAAACCTAAAACCAAAAACAAACAAGAAAAACCCCAAATACCCTCCCAAACAAAAGAAGTGTCGTTGATACAAAGAAGTTAAAATTTTTTTTCATGTAAACATTTATTTTTTTTAAGTGGTGGTGGTGGGGCACACACTCAAGCATTGCTCAGGGGTATTCCTGGCTCTGTACTCAGAAATTCTTCTTTTTTTTTTCTTTTTGGGTCATACCCAGCAATGCTCAGGGGTTACTCCTGGCTCTGCACTCAGGAATTACTCCTGGAGATGCTTGGGAGACCATATGGGATGCCAGGGATCGAATGTGAGTCAGCCGCATGCAAAGCAAACACCCTTCCCTCTGTGCTATCACTCCAGTCCCTCAGGAATTATTCTTGGTGGTGTTCGGGGGACCATATGGGATACTGGGTATCAAACCCAGGTTGACTGTGTGCAAGGCCAAATCCGTACCAACTATACTGTCCGCCCCTAAAATTTTTGTCTCTCTCATTTTTCCCTCCTTTCCTTCCATTCTTTTTCAAGTGTCTGGGACTTTAAGGAAATAATCAGATTGCAGTTCATAATAGTAAACTCCTCTCAGGAGGGAGATAGAGGGGGAAGTTGTAGGAGGAGGATTTGTGGATGTCTTTGATTATAGCTTGAACTGGTTATCTCTGGAACTTATAGTGTATTGTTTTTAAATTTTCCAACTCTCCTCTTACATTTTACCTGACTTAAAGACTTGTTTAAAATAATGACGTGTGATGTAGCTCAGTTTTAGAATATATGCTTTGTGGATATGAAATCCTGGGTTTGATTGGCAGCACAAAAGAAACAAAAACTTGATTAAAGTGAAAAATTGACACATCTTTTTAAAATTACACCTTTTTGTTTCTTTTGCTTTTGGGTCACACCTGGTGGCACTCAAAGGTCTGCTCCCTGCTCTGTGCTGGGGGTGGGGTGGGGTTGCTCCTGGCATTGGTTGGGTGATTGTATGCTGAGAATTGAACCCAGGTGTCTCACAAGAAGATGGCAAGTAGATGACAGCTTTTTCTTAAAAATTTAATGACTTTTTTGGTTTGGTTTTATATTGGGGCCATACTTGACTGTGTTCAGGACTTTCTACTGGCTCTGTGCTCAGTGGTTCGTCCTAGGTGGGTGCTTAGCAGGGGACCATATGTTGTTCTTTGGGTTGAACTCCAGTCGGCCACTTGCAAGGCCTTACCTATTGTACTATTTCTCCAGCCCTTTTAATGACTATTTTTTTTCTTTTTTAATTTTTGGGCCACACTCAGTGTTGCTCAGGACTTACTCCTGGCTCCTCTGCACTCAGAAATTACTCCTGGCAGTGCTCGTGGAAACATACGGGATGAGGGGGATCCAACCCGGGTCGGCCACATGCAAGGCAAGCGCCCTACCCACAGTATTATTACTCCTTTAGTGACTTTGATGCTTGCAAGCAGTCTTACCTTTTTTTTTTTTTTTAAATGTAGGAGTACTGTTATTCAGCCGCTGATTAGGCTAATTGAATTGGGCATGAACTCCACTTTTTTTTTCATTTTTTATAATTTTATTTATTGAATCACTGTGAGCAGTTATAAAGCTTTTGGATTTAAGTCTCGGTCATACGATGAAACACCCGTCCCTTCACCAGTGACCTTTCTCCACCCCAAAAACCCCCAGTATACCCCCATCCCACACCCACCCCCTACCTGTGGGGCAGATGATTTCCACATTATTCTCTCTCTACTTTGATTACATTCAATATTTTGACACCAGACCTACCATTATTATTTGGGATTTTACCCCAACACTCAGATCTGATGAAGAGGCAACAGTAGACAATTTGTTTTCTGTTGCTGGTTATAAGTAATATGATGTCGCGTGGCTGCAGTAGTGGCCGCGCAATTTTGAAATTCCGAAATTTTAACAAATCTGGAAGGATTTCTGCCAAAACCTGCTGGGTTCCGAGATTTGTTCCTGAGTCTCTGGGATCATGGCCATTAAGCAGCTTGATCAGGAGCTAGAGAGGCCGTTTGTGGGCAGAGACTTGGGGTCTTGCTTGGGTGGGGAGGAAAGGGCCGGCTCCACCCCCATTCTGTGAGGCCCCGTGTGTCTTGTCACTGTGGGCCCAAACCTGACTGTCCTGTGGCCTCTGGAGGATGTCAGCCACCAAACCGCCA